GTGTGTGTGAGACACTGTGTGTGTGTGACATTATGGGTGTGTGACATTATGGGTGTGTGACACTGGGTGTGACACTGGGTGTGGGTGTGTGACACTGTGTGTGTGTGTGACATTATGGGTGTGTGTGACACTGTATGTGACACTGGGGACTGTGTGTAACAGTGTGTGACAACAGGTGTGTGTGATACTGGGTGTGACACCAGGAACATGTGTGTTACACCAGGCGTGTCTCTGTGTGACACTGGGTGGGTGACACTGGGTGCATCTGACACCAGGGGTATGTGTGTGTGTGACACCATGTGAGTGTGACACTAGCTCACTGTGTGTGACACTAGGTGGGTGACACTGGGGGCGAGTGGGTGTGACACTGTGGATATGACACCGTGAATGTGTGACACCATGTGACACTGGCTCTGTCTCCCTGTGTGTGACACTGTGACATTGGCTGTGTCTCACTGTGTGTGACACTGTGTGTGCGTGACACTGTGTGTGTGACACCGTGAATGTGTGATACTGTGTATGTGTGACACCATGTGAGTGTGACACTGGCTGTGTCTCACTGTGTGTGACACTGGGTGGGTGACACTGGGGGTGGGTGGGTGTGAGACTGTGTGTGTGACACCATGTGTGTGTGACACTGGCTGGGTGTGTGACAGTGGCTCTGTGTGTGATGCCCTGCATGTGACCAAGCAGGTGTGATGCATGACATCTCATGTGTCACCCCACATCACACGATGTGACACCAGGTGTGACCACACGCCAGTGCATGTGGCACTGTGCAGCACCACATGTGCCATGTGGGTGCACACACGTGACAGCAGGTGTGACCATGTGCATGTGACACCATGTGCAGGCTCCCTGTCCCCAGGGCCAGGAGGGGACACCAGGAGGGGACAAGCAGGGGCTCTAGGTGCTCTGATTTGCTCAGTCCTGATGCATCACTCAGGTGACACACGGGGACTGGGGCACAGGGAGGGTGGCGTTGGCCTCGCCACCTGCAGAGGAGGATCTCACCCACGGAAGAGCAAGCCCTGCACCTCGCCATGCAAATGTCACAGCCCAACCGCCGGGGGGACGTGGGCTGTGACATCCCTGCAGGCTGGGGGATGCCAAATGTCACCCTGGTGGCCCAGGAATCTGCCAAAAGAGAGCAGAGGGCAAGGACTCACGTGGCCCTGCCAGGAGGTGATAGGACACAAGCACAGCTGCCACCACCCACCAGGATGGGGACACAGGGATGGCTGCTACTGCCACCCCAAGAGATGGACAGGGGGGACAGAGGAGGTCCCAGCCTCGTCCCCTCCACTTCCCTCACAGACAAACAATGGGCAGAGCCAACACTCAGGGATTTTAGTTCGTTGTTTTTTTTTTCTTTTACTTTTTTTATTCCAAAAATCCACCCCCAAGAAACAAAATATTTCCCTTGGGAGGCTGGGATCTTCCCTCCCCCCACAACAGCCTTGTGGTAATATGTTATGAGTAAAGATCCTCTCTAAAAATCCCAGAAAAAAAAAAGGGAAAAAAAAAAAAGGAAAGGCAAACTGAAAATGAACCAAAAGTAACTGCCAAGTAGGTGCCCTCCCTCTGCCCCAGCCAAGAACCCCAACCCCAACTGAGAGAGCGCAAGACTTTGTTTGCTTTTACCCTTAATGCTTACATTTAATTTTAAAGCACAAACATCAGAGATGGACTCTAAATCGCCAACAAAAAAATAGATATTTACAATATTTCTCCAGGGAGGGGAAGGGAAGGAGGGAGGGAGGGAGGGAGGGATGGGGGGGGGATCAAAACAAAACAAAAACCACAACCAAACCCTTAAACAAGTAACTTTGCTTGCAGGAGTTGTCTTTAGGGAGCAGGCTGGGTTGGTTTTAAATCACTAAGTGATTTTTTTTATTATATATAATTCTCTTTTTTTCTTCCTTGTGGATTTGCACCACACCGGGGTGGTGAGGAGGGTCGCCCGCAGGCGTCTCTTCAGGGCACAGCGGGAAGGGGGCGCTGTCCCCGTGGAGGAGGGACCCCACACGGGGGGAGCCCCTGGCCCTTCTAGCCACACTCAACCCCAGCTTTTTTAAGTTTTCTTTCTTGTTGCAAAACTCAAAATGAATCCAAAGGAAAAAGAAAAGCTTTTAATTCTTCCGACGTCTTCCCTGGTCTTCCCTGGTCGCCACCGCCAAGAGAGGCTGAGGCCAAAGGGTATTCCTCTCACCCAGGGGTGTTTTCCTGCTCCGAGCCCTCCAGCAGTGAGGCCACACCACCCCTTGTCCAGGCACTCCGGGATTGTCCCCTCGGATCCCCCTGTGGCAGCCGGGGACAGTCCCCACGCCCAGGAAGGCGGTGGGTGGCCACCTCTCCTCCCTTATTGCTTCTGAAGCAGCAGGGGGGTGGGCTGCCCTCGGGGGGACCCCCCTGTGGGGCTGGGGACGGGTGGCACAGAGGAGACACCCTGGATTGTGCTATCTGTACGCTGCCAGGGAGAAAGCGGGGTACTGACGGGGGGGGGAGAGAGTCGGGGAGCGTCCGGGCACAGGCAGGACAGGGAGGGAAATAAAATAGTGACCCAGAAAAAGAAGATTCCAACCTTTTTTCCTTTCTTTTTTTTTTCTTTCTTTTTTTTTGTTGTCTTTTTTTTTTTGTTTTGATTTTTTTTTTGTTGTTTTTTTTGTTGTTTTTTTTTAAAGTGCAAAAAGCTCTCTGCTGCCCTAGAGAGAGGTTCTTTGGACCGACCATTCATTGCAAAGGAAAATCGGCAGCGAAAAGGGGGGTGGGGGAAGGAGAGGACGATGCAGGGGGGTGGCCGTGCCAGTTCGGTCCCGGGCCATGGAACAGCCCTCGCCCCTCCGGCCCCAGAGTGCTTCACGGTGCCGGGAGCTGGGGAGGAAGAGGAGGCAGCTCCTGTCCCCCCCACGTGCTCACTCACCCCTGGCTGATGCTTCCCGAGTCCTCCCTGAGCTCTGATGTACCTGTGGGTTCTCCCCTGCTCCATCCCCTCGGACAGACGGGAAGGCTGATGCTGTCCCAGAGTGGAAGCGAGTTATCCCCCAGCCTCGCCCCCCCGGGCTCTCAAAGCCCCTGCTCCTGGTGACACCCCAGCCACGGGGCTCCTGCCCTCGGCACCCGAAGAGCCGCCCGGATGTGTGGAAGCGGCGGGAGAAGGAGGGGGATGTATCACAGTCCCTGCAGCCAGATGAGGGGAAGAGAAAGGGCGTGAGAGCGCAGGGCAAGCGCCGAGCTGGTGGTGGCACAGAGGGGTATGGGGTGTTTCGGCTCTGCTCCCGCTTCCTTGGAGAGACCCTCAAGCTTTGTGCTACCGCGGAAGTGACAAGTGTTTCAAGGCAAGGAGACGATGGGAAGGAAGGGGAAAAGCTGGGGGAAGAGGGTGCCCCATTTCTCTGCACAGAGACCTCTGTTACAAGCTCCGCCCCGGGAGCAGCCAGCCTCCAGGCTGAGGCTCCCTGCCATGTGCCCGTTCCTCCTCTGGTACTGGCCAGCCTGGCGGGACATCTTCCTCGGCAGAAGTCCCGGGGAAGGAGGAGGAGGAAGGACAGTGGAGCAGCGGCCCTGCCTGCCGAGTCAGGTGGGAGGCAGGACACGGAGGGCAAGGTGGGGAGGTGGAGGAGCGGCTCTCCAAGAGGGGTGGGATGGGCTCTTTTCCTTCTCCTCAGTCTGCCCCGGGGAGGGTCTCTAGCTGATTTTTTGGATCAGCTTCTCATCGGACAGGCAGTAGAGGCTGTTGATGGACAGGTCCGAGATGAAGTGCTCACAGGCTT